ACCACCACAAGGGATGTCAGTTTTCCAGCTGTTGCCCCCTACCTGTCTGCCCCTATTAGCTACTGTTTCATTTGATTTGGTTGTCAGTCATCAGTGACCATCAGCTGCCTTCATCGCTTGTCACTTACAGTTTGGTGACTACCATCATGCTGGTGGCTGCTGCTGAGAACAATTTGTTTTTTCTTTTGCGGGGGGAAGGGGTTTTGACTCCTGAGAACAGTTCGTCATTCCTTTTTTTGGTGAACCATTGTCATGTTGGTGACTGCTTCTTACAACCATTACTCATTCCTTTATTTTGATAACTGACCCATGATCACTGATATTCTTGACCATCTTTCTAGTACAACATAAAATATCTGAAGGTTGTATTTTTTCTTCTATGGAAAAGAAACTAACTTATACTCTTTGAAAGTGTTTTCTAAAAGAAAAAAAAATGTCGTGGGTCCTGTGTAAAGATCTTCCACAAAGCAAACAGAAGTGTATATTTAAGCATTTTCTATTCTCCTTATATTTAAATTTGAATGCTTGAAATTTATATCTGGAGTTAACAAAAATATCTCAAGAATTGTGTGCTTCTGTGTGCTTTGTGCATGTGTGTGTATTGAAATGCAAAAATGAAGTACTTTTGATATAATCCTCAGTATTTTTACAATATTTGCAGATTTTGAATATTTTCATCATACTTCCAGTGAAATTTATTTATTTTTTTTAAATGACTGTTGGTCCTTTTAAGTTTATATGCCTCCAAATCCATGAAATTCATTTAACATTTCTTTCTCATCTGTTATATTACGTTTGCACAATCTCTACTGTGAATGAGGAAATTTATTAGTGGTTTTTGGTTGTAATCATCTACATATTCTGTTGGGAGAATAATTATTTATGATTTATGTAATTGACCAGCTACTCTTCTTGTTAGATGATGATGAGCAAAAGAAGAAAAAGAAGAAGAAAAACAAAGCTGTTGCAGAAGATGTTGGGTTGACTTTTGGCTTACAATCACGTATCAGCATTGAGAATGTACAACGTATTAAGAAAGCAAGCACGGTTTCCAAGCAAATTGTTGGTGCTACTCAACCTAATGGGTCATATTCTACGAACGAAAACATTGTTAAGGATTCAAAGGATGTAAGACAAGTTACCTTAATCATGTGGATTAGTCACATGACCTATTTTGACAGATTCTGTCTAGTGTTTGCTCTTTAGGGCAACTTTTTCCTGTGTCCAAGGTGCATGAGGGTGTTAGTGACTGAGGTATGCTTTGGTGGCAGATTGAAAGTAGAATGTTTAAAGGAAACTTGTCTGGAAAGGTGAAAGGAATGAAAAAGAATGGTATGTCAAGCACAGGTCCACTAACAAAAGTCAAAATATTGGGAGACAATGTTAAGGTAAGTGAGCTCTTCTCTTCTCTCTCTCTCTCTCTCTCTCTGTCTCTTGATGGAAAGACAAGTGAGCATGTTGATTTTTGACTATTTAGTATTTTCTACAGATGTTGTGTGAGCATTCTATTTGATTTTCTTTTAATCTATATTTCAATGAGCAGAAAGTTCTTCCAACATTTCATCTTCTTATGCTTATGTTGGTCAAATATTAGAGATACGGATGTAGAACAGAGATTTTTTTTTTTTTGGTTTGTTTTCCAAGGCTCCATTTTACTTGTTGCTTTTGCTACTTGTTTTTTGCTTTCACAAGCGAAAGCGTAAATTGTGTTTGGATCTAAAAATGAAAAGTATATATAGAAAATGGAAAGTTTTTAATTCTACGGATAACAAAAGCATTGATTTTTCTTATATATGAGACATTTGCTCCTTTTTTTAAATAAATATGATGTTACTTGAGCAAATAGCAAAATGCAAGTGGAGTAAAGTGACATTTAGATGTAGTTTTAGTGATTACTTATTACTGATTAGCCTCCCATGTGAGAATATTTGAAAAGTACCATATTAGGAGTTGTTAATACAAATTCATGTTGAGCAAATGCCTTACTTACGATTCAAGTATTAGCAGATAGCCTCTTTATGTTGTCGATCTTATTAATACTCCGGTTTGCACATGATGAGGTTAACTAAGAAAGC